GCTCAGCCGATCCAGATGTTGGATCGGCTGAGTCGAACTCCTTCTGCACTTCGGGTCAGCCGAACATGCTGAGCATGTTCGGCTGATCCGAAGCCACACGAAGCAAGCCGATGTACGGCTGATTTCAGCCGATGTACGGCTGAAATCAGCCGTACCAGCCTGAAGTGAATAGCCTAACAGTGTTCGGCTCACTTCACTTCTGATCGGTCATTCACTTGGCTGCCCTCGGCAGCTTTGTGAATAGACCCCTATGTCCTCAAGTTATGAATGAACAGGAGCACTCAGTATAGAGGATTCCTGTTCATTTATAACAGGGGCTGCAGAAACAGAGATTGAAAAAACTCTGAAGAAGAAAAAAAAAATACACCTGCAAAATACCCCCACACTCCAAGGGTTTAATGCTCTTTTTTTGCCTAGAGTAACAGTGGAAGGCACATACTCACCATATATCACACAAGCTCCTCCTTTTATGGTCCACTATAGCCTCTTCTCTTTGTGCAGCGGTGATGCCATCCTGTACAGTGAAGAACCATCAGTCCTGCATTGTAAGTGAGAATGCTGAGGGCCTACCCACAAGCCTGAGCAAGTGCATTTTACTGGTACTCTAGGCAAAAAAAGGTGGATGTAAAGCTGCAAAAAAACAGCTGATTGGTAGGCTTTCAATGCAGAAGAGACTGTGTAAGTCTCTTCTGCCATAAAAGTTTATTTTATGCCGAGATGAAGGAACTCCCGTGCACATGTGTGGGAGTTATGTCATCGAGGCTGAAGACTCAAAACCTGGAAGAAGCCTGGAGTGAAGATGAAAGTGCTGGTGAGGGAGGAGAGCTGCGCTGAAGGGGATGGCTTTGGCAGGTATGTCTGTGCATACTACCATATTATGGCTAAAAGCTCCAGGGGCATTTTTTATTGACTCTACTTCTGCTTTAATACTTCACTGAAAGAAAACCAATGTGAAGCATACACATCATATTCTCGATAGATATACTTAATTTGTTGTGAAATCCTTGCCTTACAATTCAAATGGAGAAGAATTGAAACTGAGCTCCTTGTATGTTTCTTTGTGTGCAAAACTGTATTTTTCTCTTGAAATGACAAGAAAATAATCTATTTCATGAGATTTTTCAATTGAACTAAAATCAACTAAACCTTTAACAAGCAATCACATTGTAATGGGGATAACAGAAGCTGATTTGTGATAAGATGATTTGAGCTACTGTACTTTTCATTACTGATCTTTATAATTAAAGCTCATCTATCCCAAAAGTTAAGAATATAGCAGCCACTATTTTAGTTGTAAGATGGAATGCTTAGTAGGTATCAGAATCCTATCCTTTGGCTGTGGTTCCAGCAACCAAAGACACTTTAAACAAAGCTCATTTTGAACTGTGCATGAACTAAGACTGATCTAAGTTCTGCTATGTTGGATACAAATTGCTGCAAATCAACAATAAACCCTGTACACAATTATAAGGGAAAAACATCACTGTATGAGTCTGAATAGTCAAAAAATTTACATCCAGAGGAGTTAGGCTAGAAATTAGTAGAGAGTTTTATGCTTTCTTTTTAGGGTTCTCAGCCGGAGTTCGTTACATGATGTATCATTATGCATCAAGCTAGATATATTTCTTACCAGATAACTAGAAATATTGCAGATATTCATATGGAAAGCATGGGATTAAATTTCTATTTAGGCTGAAATATATACAAAACATTCTAATTTGCATATAAATACATAAATTTGTAGTAATAGTTCTGCTGTAATAGCATCACATTGCACATAAAAAGAAACTTATTCCCTATGTGATTTCCCAAAGTAATATATTCATTGCAAAAGGTGCATTAGCCAATAAAGATTGTGCTCCAGTAATTATATCATTTTTGTCAGGAAGCC